TGCTCGGAAAATCGGCCCTCTCCTATAAGTTATTTAATAAGGCACGAAACAAAAATCATGCCCGAAAAATAACCCCTGCAATGTACATCGTGACCATTATTCGGTAACAAAGGCCGGGCACTAATTTAAACAGAAGGGGAATTTACAACTGGTAATTACTTGAAAACCATTCTCCTCCCCTGGATATTATTGTCTAATCATGATCATCGGTTTCATCCTCGGCCGATGGAAAAGTCACGGAACTTAAGAAAGGATGGGAGGAACGTGCTTCTTTCATGCCGGCCAACACCGTTCAGTCCTCTCCTTTTCAAACCTGGAAGATTGGAAAAAGAAACGCATTATCTAACCCACATTCTCATCTCTCCTCCTCACTACTAAAAGTGATGCTTTCATTATGGCCCGGTCAATTTTTTTTTTAACTCTCCATCCTAAGCTAATTAATTTTTACATCCTTCTGTACTTTGTACGAGATTGAACGTGATCTTGGCTTACTTTCATTTTCTCCCGAATCTCACATGGCGAAATTGATTACAAGCAATATCGTGTAAATTTTAAAAATCCAAGAAATCTTTTCTATATGAAACATGACGAAATTGGGGGTCAGGTATTCGCTTCTGTCTATTTAACTTAACAGAAATATAAATGCAGGTCCTTGACTGAAATAAATTAAATAGGGGGAATAAGTGTATGCAGATTTAATTGCAAAGGGCAATTATCCAATTAAACAAAATATTTTTTTCCAAGGTTGAAATGAGAAAACATGCAACAATCAAAACTATAGCTAATCTAGCCCAATGCGAAATAATTAAAGAATAAAATATTACCGTTTTCTTCATACCTGCTTAATAGCTATTTAACGTCTAAGGGTTCGAAAGCTCCAAAGCATATTCATTCATTAAGTTATTAAAAAGGTGAATTATTACGTATATCTACAATATTTATTATTAAAGTGTAATATTGTTTTATTACTTTTGTATGAAATGTCAAATATAGTAAGCCTATGAGATTATCAACCAATAAACGGCGGGAACCAGAAATTCAAGATTAAATGCTCTTCTCCGCCTTGAGCTCATTTAACACAACAGTACATTAAGCATAAAAATTAATTACTTTTTAGGATAATTTATTCGAAACAGTTATATGCAAAATGATTTAAAGTTTTTGTGTCATTCTCTGTTTTTCTCTCTCTCCCTCTCTCACACACACTCACACTTACTCTCTCTCTCTCTCTCTCTCTCTCTCTCTCTCTCTTTTTCTCTCTCATTATCTCGACAGATATAAGAACGATCTTTGGTCTAATAAACTATCTATCTTTCTATTTATCTATCTATCAATCATAAGAAAGCTGTGAATTTATTTCCTGAAATTTTCACGCTCGCCAAACAAGAATTGCAAAATTTCATAAGAATCAGAAAACACACGCATGCGCGCAAAAAATACTGGCACAGATTTAGAAAAAAATTATCGATTGTGTCATTTCTGTTTTGTTGTAGAGCGAAAAAAAAGTCATGCAGGTAATCCATGCATTACATCTGTTTGTATGATATGTATTACATTTCGCTTTTCAATTTCTATAAATAAGCACATTCTTTCATAGTTATGAAAAAAGTTAAAATGAATAATGAAAAACCAAGAAACAGGAAGAAAAACGGAAACTCACATAGAAACATGTGAAATCCAGACGAAAAACAAGACACAGCCTTCATGTTTATTTGTTAGTATTTCTCATCATTTCGACCAAAAATGGATGTTTCAATGTATACGTTACTTTGTAAATGCAAGAAAATAATCGGGTAAGCATATAATACAAACAGATAAAAAAAAATCAAACATTTGAAATAATACAGTTAAACATAGACATGTACACATAAACAAGCAATGAAAAAACCAACTTACAAACACGAGCAAAAAGGGACTCACATAAACACATATCTTAATATGTATGCTGCAGAGAACTATCAAGTAATATAATTTATTAACAAGTTAATTTTATTTAATTACGAGTTTGACGTTATTTTATATATTAATTTGATTGTAAAACCAAACAATTTATTGTGAAATATTATTCTGCCAAAACCTTCCGTTGTTTTGACTGGGAACGCTTGGAATTTTGTCAGCATTGGGTGCGTTAGACATATTTGACATATTCTCATCTTTCAAAGCTCAGTCAAATTTAGAAAGATTAATGAGGATAAAGTGTGAGAATTATTAACTCGTCTCGGATGTTATTATCATCTATTTTGGCGTATTTTCAGATCATGATTTACAGTTTGAGACTAAATATGTCATCTGTAAACTATGAGATGTTAGTACAACGTATTGGCTAACCTAAACAAACCGGAATTTTTTTTCACAAACAGCGCGCCAGGGAGGAATCTTCCGCATAATTTATTCAGGTTGCGGGACTTTTTTTATTAAAATTCATATGACCCAGTTGTAAGGCGGGAAGTGTCAGATTGCGGTTTTCGTCGTTGGCTTGGCCAGCCATAGTAACACCCGCCGCTCATAATAATTCGATTCGCATAAATGGGTGAAGGACTGCAGATAGCCGAACCCTTTTCTGACAATGACTAGGCCTTGTTGCCAGCCGGAGCAGACCTGTCATGGATTCGATGTCTTAAAATTAAACGTTAAACGCCCCAGAAAGCAACGGGGGCATGACGGCGATTTTCCAGGATATGTCGGCATTTTTATGAACTCTCAATCGTGATAACTGACGAGGCAAAAAATTTACACATCTATCGCAAATCGGTGTTTCCTCTGAAAAATTATTCCTTCTGATTTGAATAAGAAACACGCCGATTCGTTCTGTGAGAAAGTGAGACGCGAAAACCTGTCCCTGAGAGTCTGCAATTACTTACTATTATTAAACCAATACCTTATTGTCTAATACACTACTAACCACTACATCAGACAACATCTACCAAAGGTAGATAAAATGCTAACTCGATTACAATGGGAAGGTTAAATGGCCAAATATTTTTTTGCCAAACTGCTCACAATACTTCCTTACAAGATTATGGAAAGCAATTTTAAACAAATATTCCCATGACGTTCAGAAAACGTTATGTAAAATATTTTACATGAGACAATGTGTTTGTCAAATATTTTTCAAAAACTTGATTATTACATATGCACATGAACTGACTATAATCGTATAAACCATTGCCCACTTATTGGGCACACAATAAATAACTATATAAATTATAATAACATAAAAATAAAAACTAATCAATTTGTATTAAAAACTCTTTTTGTCACTCTATGTCTCTCAATCACTCTCTCTCTCTCTCTTACTCTCTCTCTCTCTCTCTCTCTCTCTCTCTCTCTCTCTCTCTCGTAAAACAAAGAATACTAATTAAGTAAATATTTTTATATATAATATTTCAAATTAGCATTTACTTAATGTAATATTTATTTAAGTTCACATTATATTTTTTTGCCTTATTTAATTAATATTTTATGTTATTTTTAAATCGTAAAATTTAGTTCCTATTCTGAAAGGTCCTTAATGTAGCCTTTAAGAGGACAGCGTATATATATTTTCATTGATTTAAACTGTTTTATCATAAAATAATATTATTTATCTTTAGCTGTACTTAACCATTATTTTTATTCTTGCAACGTTATTCAACAATAATATGCTCTGTCAAAAAACATAACTCTGACTTTAATTATTTATGCCATTGTATTTTACAATTTGTTGTTTTTATTTTAAGTCTATTGCGACTATAAACAAAAATTGTAATTGTAATTACATATGAAGTGTAAGTACGGTCCTAGAGACCTGACTTTGGCGTGTATTTTAATAAATGATTCGTTAGTCAATCAATCTATCTTTCTCTCTACTGGTTTCTCTTTTCTTTTCTCTCTCTTTTCCCTTTCTATCTCTCTCCTTTCCATTTCTTTCTCACTCTCTGCTGCTCTCTTACTTTTTTTATTGTTAACTCTCTTCCTCTCTCTTAGTATCTCTATTGGATGGATATACACACTCTCTTTGTGAATGATAATTGCGTACGTTGTATGTTGTTTGACCACCAATGAATCAATATTGTATCTGTCCGTTTGTGTGTTTATTTTATTATATGTTTGTGATTTTTTATGTGTTTCTTTGTTGTATGTCGCCATATACACACGCTGGGAGATTGAATGAGTAAGTGAAAGAAATGAAATTATAGAAAGTGAGATTGTTATTAAGTTATTAAGGGATGTTATAAATTGATTCTCATCCAATAAAATCTTTTTTAGCAAGTCACATTTTCATCTTTCTTTTCTATAGATAACATTCGTTTATATAATAAAAAAATAAAATTTCTGAGAAATACATTGACTATGAAGGTACCGGCTCTAATTTCTGGTAAAGTGCTACAATGTCGGGAAAAAATTGCAAATGTTTTTACTCTTGGACCACAATCATGGTTTCTGCTATGATATTCCTCCACCGTACAAAATTGTGCGATTCATATTATGCGTAATGGTGCGTGAAGATGGTTTTAAAAGTGAAGACAGTTCTAGAAAGGAGTCCTTTTGTCGACACCGTTGCCATTATCCTCATATTATACAAATTTTCGAGTTTCCCTTCTGGGAAATGTAGGCGGTATGCCGAAAAAAAAGACAATTGGCCGCGACAGCATGAATCGGAGTGACACGACATCCAAGACGTCGTACAGTATTTCTCCCAATTGACACACGTAGACTGCTATTACTTTCCTCCTTGTGATTCGATGATGCGAATGTACTTTCATTTCATGACCCTGCCTTTCTCCTAATGACTTCTAAATTGACACCGGATCCGTTTCGCTGTTGTTTTTACAACAATTCGGGATTACTTCCAGGATCAGGAGTAGTGCTAGGAAAGGCCATTTTTCTCTCGTTTGTTCTCAAGTTCGATCTGGCAAAGGTTACTGATTTAATAAAAATCCACTTTCTTTTGAAAATAAAACTGATTTTTTTAAAGAATGATTGTACGTTGACCTAATGTTTTTTTATTTTTTTTACAGAATCAAGAGCAGCCGAAATACACGAGGGAAAAGGTAGTTTATTTAATGAACTTACTAAATTTTGTCCATTTCAAATCAAAAATATAAGTGGAATATTAATTTTAACACAAGCGTTACAACAAAGAAAATTTGTTTTCTATTTACGTACATTTATTTTACTTTTTTTTTTTTACATATTTTTAATAACTTAAACACGAATTTTCGTTCTAGTCATATCTTTCTGCTATCCTTTGAGTCAGTTTGACTTGAAGTTGAGTTTGACAAGTAACTGTCAAAGATACTTTCTTATATTCTAATTTCACATGTTTGTAGATTTCAAATTCCTTTCACAATACGTACCGTTGTTTCGAAAAGTCCATAGCTAGATTGCGCGATGTAGTGCGTATAAACTGGGAAAGGCTATTTTTAAGTTCTTTTCTCTTTGTGTATCATGCCTCTAACCCTAGAAAGTATTATCGTTGCGTTATATATATATATATTTTTTTTAATAAAAGCTGAACGTATTGCTTTTAAAACTGATTTTACTGCCAAAAGCGGTCTGTAGGAAGCCTAAACCATTCAATGTTATACGAATCTATGGACTACAACACAATCATTGCTGTTGTAAAAAGCTTTTCTAAAATAATTCACCGACTCCAGACCCCAAGAACAATTAAAGATCTTGTCCATCTCGATTTTTCTAAAGCCTTCTATGCCATAGTATGTTTGTAGCCACCCTTCTCCTTACTTAACGTAAAACCTTAATTTATTAAGGTTTTGGTTGAGATAAAAAAAGTCTGTGTCACAAGCGGGATTCGAACCCATGACCTTCGGCTAAATACGCCGCTGCTCTACCAATCGAGCTATCGTGACTTCGATCCACTCGGACACTAACCTTCCATCTCGACCCCACCTTTTGAATTTTCCCTCCTTTTTGCCATTTTTTCAAATGTCGTGTAATCTATTTGATTCTCGGCAACAAAGGAAATGGCCACGGAGAGCTTTAGTGAAGTACACTTCATTTTGCATATTACATTTTATCAGGTTTCGTGATCCGCTTGACCAAATAAATTCTTTTCAATTTATTGAGGTTTTGGTTAGATATTGATAGTGGATCGAAGTCACGATAAGTCAAGTGGTACAGCAGGGGCGTATTTAGCCGAAGGTCATGGGTTCGAATCCCGCTTGTGACACTAACTTTTTTATCTCAACCAAAACCTTAATAAATTGAAAAGAATTTATTTGGTCAAACGGACCACGAAAACTGATATAATGTAAAACCTTAATCTTTCTCTCAATGTCCTCCCCTCTTTTCTTTCGGACTTTTACCAAGTAGTCTCCTCCCAAAAATATTCTTAATCCTCTCTCTTATCCATCACTTATGGATTTCCCTCAAGATTCAAGCAGCTCAACTTCCCTAATTAATATTTTAGTTGTTATATTAATTTACTCTTCCCTAAACCGATAAAAATATTTTTTCCATTACTTTACAAATAACTTCCAAATTTACCTTTCCTTCCCACCTCCTGACTTACAAGCTGCAATTTATAAGAATTCAGGAATATTTCAACTCCTGGTGTGCCAAAAATAGGGTTAACGTGAATATAGAAAGTCCCATGTCCTGTTTGGATACAGTTCCCTCCATCAATCCAATGCTCCGATTACATTTAACCATCAGCCTACTCGCTTCTGTCTCATCATCAAGAACGTTAGAATTGTTCTTGATCAGATCTGGGCCTGGAAGCCCCATATTTCCCACATTTCCGGCTGCTTTTCTACACTACATTACTTCCGTTGTGCCATCCAACTTTCCCTCTTTTAATAATTTCCTGAGATAAGCTCAAACTTCTAATGAATTGCTTTTTACTTTATCTTCGGTTCCTCAAGTAGGTCCAACGTGATTGTATACTGACGGGCCTGGTTAAAGGGTATTCCCTTCCTACCACAAGCAAAACTTCCTGGGCTCCTTCCTCTAACGTTGACGATATCTTCAGATCATAGGTACAATTCTGTCAATTCGTTCCCGCTCTTCTGACCTCAGTCTCACAGAACTAACTACTGGGTTTATTTCTTCCTTCCTCAACTGTAGCTCCAACCTATCGAATACCTTTCCTCAATTTATTCGCTTGGCAACATCCTTTCCATCTTTAAGTCCATGTGATTACCTTTTGTCCTTACAACTGGGCATCGAATTTTTAAAATGACTTTTTAGTTTCATTTCTATAACAGAATAGTTCTACTTTATATGTACTTTTTGGATGGGCCTCTTTGTAGCCTTATCAAGCTTGCATCCCTATAAATAGTTGTATTCATAATTACATAACTGTTCAACGGGACTTTTAAGTCCAAGAAAAAAGTTTTTCCTTTCTCTTCAAATCCATTTTATTTTAATTGGTCTCACAACATTTGGTCAGATTTGGAGTCAAGGAATCATTGTCTCTTTGAAAAAATGTGCTATTGGCCAAAAACTACTATAATCATGATGAGTGATTAAGACAATAAGGAGGATAAAAACGGCATTTGTAACGCTAATAATTTTTAGAAATGCAAGAATAACACCCAGCACCACTATAGTAATTAAACTTTTGACCAAGTTCTTTCACCTTTTCGTATTTTTTAACGTCAGATAAACAATTTTCTTGTGTTTTAATTTAAAATCGATGTACTACTCAAATCCCTTTCAAAATATATTCCATTGTTGTTCTTGCAACTTTGTACATGCTTAATTATGGAAATACAAAATGTTGATTTATCTATTGTGGTATTTAAATATTTGGCCACGACTTGAGGAATTTCTGAGGTAACCTTCGCCTTAGCAATTATTCCTTAATTACTAAAGCTATTTATTGTCTAGCTTATGCAGAACGATGTCGTTTCGTGCCAAGACATTTATTTTCCTTACCGTTAGAAACAATAATTTTTCAGTGTAATTTGTTTTTGTTTGCTTGAAAAATTGCGTTCGATTAGAAATTAGCAAAATTTAATATGTCTAATACATGCTTGGTCATTATCAATTTTCAATCAATAAATTTCTTTCTTTCCATTTCAAAGTCGGAGTGAAAAATAGTTTCGTTAATTAATAAATCTTTTCCTGTTGTTAATGTAATTAATAATAATCTACGCAGTCGTTAGTATAAGACATCGATCAAAAGTAATTTAGCATTCGTACGATATTCCTCGAAAGTCTTAGCTTTCATTCATTACATTCATTACGTACACAGCCCGGAATGTAATTTTCCCTTTTAGACGCACTGTATACCCGCAGGACTCCCAGGGCATCATAACCCCGTCCTTTTATGCCACTTTCCCGGACATGTAACAGTCCGGCAGTTTTTCCGCCAACAAAGGGGAATAACGGGCAGGCGGGCGAGGAGAGCCGATCCAACCGAGCTGCGTCCGCGTTTCTCATCCTTGACTCCAACAATGGATTACAGCAAGGAGCGGTTCCCATGTTGTGCTGTGGGAGTCGGTTTTCACCGAGGGATATCGTCTACGGCCCTTAAAGGTCTTGGGCAGGAAGTCGCTTCCTTTCACACGGCGGATCATTAGCTAACAACGTGCTTGTCACCACCAGGTGTTTCCAACCATCGCACGAGTCAATTTCAAATATTTTCAAAAATACACTGGTGAAAACAACAAAACAAGAAGCCAATGTAAAGAGGGTTGTTACCGTACAGCAAACATACAAACCACTTGCTTTTTCTAAACAATAAAAAAATTAAGACATTGGAGGTCGAACAAATACTGAAATTGCGGGCTGGCTAGCCTTGGTTTTTTGATATGTCGGACCGACAGGCAAAACGAAAAATAAAAAGCAAATACAAATAATACATAAGGTCATGTATGGATAACGGCGAAAAATCTAACTAAACGATTGAGACAATGAAGCACAAAACTGACGTAAAATGGACATAATTGAAAACTTTGATGTATACTAACACAACTCATACAACACACAAAGACTCAAGAATATAGAAAACATTTTATTAGGTTTCGTGGTCCGCTTGACCAAATAAATTCTTTTCAATTAATTAAGGTTTTGTTTGAGATAAAAAAAGTCAGTGGAACAAGCGGGATTCGAACCCACGACCTTCGGCTAAATACGCCGCTGCTCTACCACTTGAGCTAACGTGACTTCGACCCATTCGGACACTAACTTCCCATCTCAACCCCACCTTTTGAATTTTCCCTCCTTTTTTGTCATTTTCAAGGTCGTGGGTTCGAATCCCGCTTGTGGCACTGACTTTTTTTTATCTCAAACAAAATCTTAATTAATTGAAAAGAATATAAAAAAGTAACAACAGCTTACCCACGTTATTTAGCAGATTATTCAAAAGAGAGATCTGAACAACAATGTAATGCCGATCAAGCTAATATTTAATACAACGGCTGAGAAGAGAAATTACTGTAACGAGCGGGACTCGAACCCACGACCTCCGAACCAGTACCCGGGCGTTTCTACCACTGGAGTATGATTTCGGTCTTCGAGCTACCAACTGTCTCGATCGACTCCTATTTTAGATTTTCCTTCTTTTTACGCCAATTTTCAAACAACGTGGCATCATATAACTGTTCGATGACGTTTCAGTTAACGAACGGGGAATAAAATAATTGTTGGTTGTTGAAACTGTCAGCTAGAGTTCTGGCAACAACCAAAATCACCAAATAAAGAGCCTTTCTTTTTCCACTTTCAAAAATTAAATTCATTAATGACATACATCTTGTATACCTCCAGGCAGCCCTGTAGAATGTAGACAGGAATGTCGTTAAAAATAGTAGCCATCATCTCGTAACATCCAGATATCTTCATCCTTAAGAGAAAGGGTTTTCCCATGATTGCCGACGGAACGGCGCAAGTGCATATAAAATGAAAGATATCGTCAACTTCCCCTTTGTTGCACATTTCGCACAGGGATATCTTCCCTCCATCTTCGTCATACTGCTTAGCATTTAAGTTTACCTTTTCTGCCTTCAGAATAAATATCCATTTTCTCCTGTAAAGATCCATCCCAGCATCGTCTTTCAAGCTCACACAATTTTTGGCCATATATGTT